AATTGCAACCATGGCAATGAGATGATATACGATGGAATGAATGTAAAACTAAAGTTCTCTCATGTAAACTATCATGTAATTCACAATAAAACATTTTTTAAAAAAAAGAATGCTCCTTGGAAACAAAGATGGCCTGACTTCATTTCTCAGATTTTTGAAATGCTACCAGGAGAGACCAGTTCCTGGAGAAGAAAATCATGCTTGGTAAAGTAGAGGAACAGGGAAAAAGAGGGAGACCCCATCGAGATGGACTGGCACAGTGGCAGCGACAATGGGCTCAAGCGTAGCAGCGATTGTGAGAATGGTACAGAATCAGGCAGGATTCCGTTCTGCTGTGCATAGGGTTGCTACCGGTTGGAATGGAATCAATAGGCCCAACAACAGAATATTGTTAGGGGAAGAGTACTGAAAATACCACGGACTGCCAGAAGAACAAACAAATCTCTGGTGGAAGCTGTACATCTAGAATGCTCCTTAGATGCCAGGACAGCAAGAAATCAGCTCTCATACTTCAGACATGCTATCAGGAGGTACCAGTCCCTGGAGAAGACATACTGCTTGGTTAAGTGGTGGGTCAGCTGTAAAGAAGAAGACCCCAACACGATGGATTGGCACGGTGGCAGCAGCAATGGACTCAAGCATAACAATTGTGAGAATGGTGCAGGACCAGGCAGTGTCCCCTTCTGTAGTGCTGTGAGTTGGAACTGACTTGATGGCACCTAACAACAACAAAGCTCATCTGCAGGTTGTGGGAAATGATGCAAAAAAGAAGAACAGCTGAAGAGAAATAACCAATGAAGCAAGGTGCCAGGGAAGTAGGAAAGAAACAAAGAGTAGGCATAAATGATAGTCTCAGGGCCCTGAGATGAGGAAAAAGGAAGGGAAGATGCCAATTTTTACAACAGTTTTTGATGGGACTCATGATAGTGGGCTTACCCTCTGATAATGTATGAGGCAAACTTAATTCCATAGAATCATGAATGGGGAGGCAGTGACAAAGTTGGGGAAGTAAGAATAGCACAAAACGTCTGAAACAGGAACTGTAGAGAAAAGTGCAAATCCATTAAAAATGAACGGAGCCATAATTCAGCATCAAAGAAGGCCACTTGAGTTGCACAGCAAAATTTGTAGCACAACACTTTACTGAACATTCAAAAATCCATTAAGAATAGACTATTGCAAAGTATAATAGCGTCTTCAGCTAAGCCCTACAACGTTCAATAGACTTCTGTTCAACAGACAAAACAAGAAAACAATAACATAAAAGATGGGAAAAGTAAATGTTACAAAAAGAACCAAAACAAATTTGACCCCATTACTTCCAAAGTATTATAGAAAGGCTAAACCAGAATTGTTGTTGCTGTTATAGGCCATCGAGTTGGTACCAGCCAACATCGACCCTGTGCACAACAGAACAAAACACTTCCTGGTTCTGTAATTCTGGCTGTACTTCTTCCAACACAGATTTGTTTGTTCTTCTGACAATACATTGTGCCTTTAATATTCTCCGCCAACACCATAACTCAAATGCATCAACACTTCTTATATGGTCTTCTTTAGTCACTGTCCAATTTTCATATACATATGAGGGTATTGAAAATACCATGGCTTGGGTTAGTTATCAAACTGACATCTTTGTTCTTGAACACTTTAAAGAGATCTTGTGCAGCAGATATACCTAAAGCAATACATCATCTGATTTCTTGACGGTTGATGGGAGCAAATAAAGTCTCGGACATCTGCAATCTTTACTCCATTTATTTTGGTATTATTTACTGGTCCTGTGGTAATGATATTTGTTTTCCTAACACTGTGGTGCAACCCATACCTGTGGTCTGCGTAAAATTTAAGTTAAGAATTTACAAATTAACTTTAAGCTTAGAGTTGTAAAACATTCCTAAACAATCATGATAAGCAATTACCATTGTACTAAATATGCACCTGGAAGTTGAAAGAACAAACTCTTTCTATAGAAATGTGACATCTATTTCCATAACCAAATCGTAAGACTCTCTGTACAACTATAATCCATTTAGTGACATACAAAAACATACCTTTAGTGTTCCATCAGCTGAACAACTGGCCAAAAGCTTATCAACTGGTGAAAATCTACAGTGATTGACTGAATTTGTATGACCAAACAGGGTATTTCGACATTCTTTTTTATCCAAATCCCAGAGCTATTTAAGAAAACAGGAAAAATATTTAAAAATTGAGTACTTAATGAAGAGAAAAGTTAAAAATGATGCAGAGTTCTTCCTTCCCTCCCATTTAAGCTTCTTCAGTTACATTTCAATTCATAGTAACACAATAGTGCCATGAATTTAGAATTAACAAGTAATGAAGTATCCCTTAAATTTGCATCTAAATCTACCATACTTTAGGAGGCTTAGTCAGTTTGTGCCATTTCAAACCACAGGCAGAGCTGACTGGATCAGGATTTGTAGCCAGTAAGGAACCAATCTACAACCCCTGAGAAGTTCTTGCTCTTCTTGAAAATGTCCATCCACCAGGGACAACCACGGTGGAACTCGAGGTCTGTGGGAAATGGCTGCAGCCTTCTCACAGACTCACAGCCCGAAAACCACAGACAGGGCAGGCATAAGCCTTGGGATCTAGCTGGATTAGTCAGGATGTGGAGCACACGTGCAGGGTAAAGGTCCAAGGCCCTGTACGCCACTTCCCCCATCTGTCTTTTAGCTTCATTATAATCCAAACTGGGGAGAAGGGATAGGATGAGAGTGATCAACAACCTGGACCTCAGGAGGGAGGCACTCTCTCACTCCAAACACACCAGTACTTACCTGACTTTATGGTGATTTAAGCAGTTTTGGGGTTTTGTTTTTTTTTACATAAATGCAAAATAAGTCAATAAAGGAAGAATAGATGCAACTGTAATATAAATTAGCACATTTTTAAAAAGATGCTATCTACTCTAAAAAATGTTCATTTTTAAGATTCTCCAATAGGAATCTTAAACCTACAAATTGGGCTAAAATCTTAATTAACACTATAAAACTATGACTCCAAATGTACAAAGATAATTTTTAGATGTAGACACATTTGACAGTATTTAAAAGCTATGAAGACTACATTAAACAATATTTCAATGAAGCAATAAACCAAATTCACAATGTAAAGCATTCTAAAGGACAAATAACTCCAATTTTCTAACAAATTGATAGCATAAAAAAGATCAGGGGAACTTTTATAAAATAAGAGAGGCTGGAGAGACATAACAACTAAGTGCCACATGGCGCATGTTTGGATTTCACTTCGAACAAACCTATGGAAGAAAGATAATATTTGAGACTACAGAGGAAAATTGATTAAAACATTTTTGAGCAAATCCTAAACATACAAATATAAGTGTCAGGACATTCTCACATCAAACGTAATGAACAGTAGTTTAGTAATATATCTGTTCACTCTTCCCCTGTGGTCTCATGTATTGTAGTTCTTCTACAGGTCTGTGAAAAGGCAAATCCAAACAAACTTCAGGTGGCCTTTGGAAGGGTAAAGTACGGCTGTCAAATGCTGATGATCAGTCTCTGTACTTTGGGGCATGTTTGAAAAGCATTTTAAAAAATGCAAGCAAAGGGGGCTAAAGTCATCTCTCATGATTTATGCTAACTTGATTAAGCCTTGAAGAAGAAATAATTTCACCCAAAAAGTTACTCTTGGTATCAAACAAAAAAAGCCAGATCCACAGCCATTAAGTCAATTTCAACTCATAGCAACTCCAAAGGACAAAGCAGAACTGCCCTAAAGAGTTTCCAAAGCTATAAACCTTTGCAGAAGCAAACTGACACATCTTTCTCCCACCTAGTAGCCAGTGGGTTCAAGCACCCGACATTTTTATTAATAGCTGATCCCTTTAACCACTGCAGCATAGAAACCCAAAAACTTCAGCCTTTTAGGAAATGATCAGTAAATGAATTAAGCCTGTTTGGCGTAGTGCTTACGAATCAGGCTGTGAACCACAAGGTCAGCAGTTGGAAACTACCAGCTGTTCCACAGGAGAAAGATGAGGCTTTCTGTTCCCGTAAAGATTTACAGCCTCGGAAACCCTGTGCAGGGTCACTATGGGTCAGAACCGACTCAACAGCACTTAATAATAACCTACAACTCTGGTTTCATCATCAATGTCCTAGGAAAGCTCAGTTCTTGAGATAAAGCAAGTTACAAGGAGATACATTCAAACTTACATTTTATTTTTTGGATTCTCACAATTTAAGAATTATAAGTGCTTTTTAAGAGCCCTTTAGATAATGCATATGTGGTACTGTAAATCTTAAAAGTACAATTTGTCCTTTACTAAAAACCTTGATCAATTAGCTTCCTCCACACAATTTTAAAAGTTCTGTTTCTATTTAAAAGGAAAAAATTAAAACTTCCTTAACCTACAAAATGTTAAAAAAGGAATATCAAAACTATTCATAAATAGGAAAAAATCATGTGACAGCCATTTGAAGAGGAACGTGCCTCTGAGGCTGCCCCTGAAGTGACAGCGAGAACCTGGGCATCCCCGGGAGCAAAACCCTCGGTGTGGAGATTGAACCTGCAGGAGGAAGGGGTTCATCATGGTGGATGACCTAAAGAGATTCCTGTATAAAAAATTACCAAGTGTTGAAGGACTCCATGCTATTGTCATGTCTGATAGATGGAGTGCCTGTTATTAAAGTGGCCAGTGATAATGCTCCAGAGCATGCTTTGAGACTTGGCTTCCTATCTACTTTTGCCCTTGCAACAGACCAACGCAGCAAACTTGGACTTTCAAAAAACAAAAGTATTATCTGTTACTATAACACTTATCAGGTGGTTCAACTGAATTGGTTACCTTTGATGGTAAGTTTCATAGCCAGCAGCAATGCCAATACAGGACTAATTGCCAGCCTAGAAAAGGAACTTGCTCCATTATTTGAAGAATTGAAACAAGTTGTGGCTGTTTCTTAATCTGAACTTCCTTAACCGAGAGGTCTCGATGTGGACCTTCATTATATCAGAAAAAATGTCAATTCAGCAATCTCTAGACTGTAATACTACTTGTATCTGTGTACTCAAAGAAAGGCCCTCTTTTCTACTGTATACTAAAGAAAGAGCCTATAGATATAATATCTGGACAGACTGATTGCTATAGTTCCTTGTTTAGAGCCTTTTATTATTTAGTGCGATGTGGGGCTACCACAAAAAGGTTCCGTCCATCACAGCTCCCATGGAGTTTAGTTCCATCGCCAAGTAAGGATGAGATTCTCTTCAGTGGATCAGAATCAAAATGGTGTAATGATTCACTGGGACCATTAAGTGATCCCTATTGTAAAATATGCCCAGGCCTGCAGAATTAAGTAGACCCTTTTTATTGTAAATAATAATGAGGGCATATTTTTCTTCATATTATGTTTTATCTATTTGCATTGAATGTGAGGAAAATAATATGGCTTAGCAAAAGTAATAAAATCAGTACAATCACTAACTTTGCTATGTACACATTATTTTACAGTATCTATGATTATTGATTTGATTCTACTCAGAGGTTGCTGCTCTTCACCTAAAATTCAGATTATAACTAAGGACTTCCCCCCCACTCTGCTATCTATAACCAATCAGTGTTACAATGTTTGTGTGTTCTCTATAAAATTTAGATGTGATTATTTAGCTGTTTCCTATATTGGCATGTATATAAACATGATAAATAATATACCCTTTTGTCATACATGAGTACAAATAAAATAGTATTTTAAAAAGTAAAATAAATAAAAACAATTCATAAATAGTATAACAGCCTTTTTTCCCCCCCAAAAAAAATGAGTTAATTCATATAGGGCAAAGCTTTTCTAAATAAAAGTGTTATAATTTTCAGATACTTTTATGTTACTATATTTGGCTTAAAAGTATACTCAGACACTTTGGACGTTATTATCAGGAGGGACCAGCCCCTGTAAAAGGACATCGTGTTTGGTAAAGTAGATGATCAGAGAAAAACAGAAAGACTCCTAACAAGATGACTGACACAGACATACACAATGGGCTCAAACAAAACAAGTGCGAGGGTGATTCAGGAGCAGGCCGTGTTTCATTCTGTCGAACATAAGGGTGCTGTGAGTCAGAGCTAATGTGACAGCACCTAACAACAACATTTGTCTATATTTCGGTCCAGTCCAGTGTTCTTGAATTGTGCTCTGCGGGACCCTATGATGAGTATTCTGGGAAAGTAGGGTAAGTGATGGAGTAGTAGGAACAGAAGAAATACAGACCATAGAACAACTAACTTTAGATTTTACACACTGAGCATCTATGCAAGTTTTCTTCTGACAAACTAAAATCTTTGCACTTTCTGAAAAGGTTGGGAAGCAATTTTTAATAACTGTCTCAAAAGTTCCAAAAATCTTTTTTAAGCTTACATCAAAATAGTCTGATGATGTCCAAATTGAAATGTCCTAAGCTACCTGCCAAAAATATATATAGTCCCATTGCAAAGATGGTGTAACATCAGAAAGAAAGAAAGATTAGAAATTAAATCAAAATACATTTCAAAAACAGTTAACAGATCTTTATGGGATCCCAGATAATTTCATTTTTTTTTCTCAGTATGACATATGAGGAGAAAATAGCATAATCCTTTATAATTTATAATTACAAAATATTATTAAACTATATTGAATGAACAGTTTTGTTTTTTGTCTTTCCCTGCCAGCATCTTTTTGTACTTTCTTTTAATAATTAAACTATTAAATCAAGCTCCACTTGTGATTTAAGTCAGTGTGGCACTGTGGGTCAATGCGCCAGACTGCAAAGCCATTTGAACTGCAAGGTCAGTGGTTCAAGCTCCTCAGCTGCTCCTCAGAGACCCTATACAGGGTCACTATGAGTCAGAATCGACTCGACGGCACTTAACAACAACAACAACTCTATATGGTTAGACTTATGACTCTTAGTCAACCCCAAAGAGTCCATCCTCCTGGCCACTGATGCCATTTACCAATATATAGGGAATGCAAACCAGGCCAATGAGTCTTACCTAAAATGAAACTATGGAATTTGATAGATTGATGGTTTCTCTTCCTCTGTTTTTATGATTAAGCCTGGAGCTGAAAGTGGCCATAATTCTTGCCACACAGACCTCAACCCTGAGCCAACAAAGAGAAAGAGCCTGAGAAAATATTTTTAGCACCTGAATTCACCTATGCCTGAAGCCAGGCTTCCTCTAGACTTTTCAGTCATGCCAGAAAATATCTTTTTCTTTTGGCTAAACTAACATGATCATTTCTAACACCAGCAAACAAAAGAGCCCTGATTACTATAACAGACAGGAAAGAAAGGAGCTGTTGTGTGGTGTATACGTAACTCTCATCCTTCACACTTACTTTGAGGAAGCTGTCGCTCGATGCAGTAGCTAGGAGAATGTGATGAGCGTTGTTGGTGAAATGGCAGCAGTTGACTTGCTCTGAGTGCTCATCACAGGTATATACTAACTCCCCAGTCACAGAATTCCAAATCTAGAGCAAACAGAGAAAATCACATTTACAGTGGCCCATACTTTCAAAGGAAGAGGAAGGGGTAAAGCAAATATAAGTCAATTTGAGGGTGCTTTCTAGCCTGTCATGACACTGCTTATCACAAATGAACACAAAGCTAAAGAATGCAACCCGAAAATGTGGCAGTATTTTGTGTGGATGATCTTTTATATTTTCTTCTGCAAGTACATACATATATTTTTCAACAGCACCATTAAAATGCTATGAAAAGTTTCTCCAAGGACAAGGTTTCATATGTTCCTATGTATAACAGCAGAGAAGTGCTAAAGATGGGATGGCAAGATGAGCCTGAATGATTAAGTTGAGTAATTACATCCAAGAATTTGTATACTGTGTAGATCTCAAGAAAAAGTAATTATCATCATGGTAGCCTCCATACATTAAGCACAGGACTGTGACACAAAAGGTCCACTGTTAGAGCACATCATCAACTCAAGGGAGACAGATGAGGTTTCCTGCTCCTGCAAAGCTTTACAGCCTCAGAAACCCTATACAGGGGCACTATGAGTCAGAATCCACTCAGCGGCACGTAACAACAAGGCCAAAATATAACCTTAAATATGTTGTTGTTGTTGTTGTTAAGTACCATCAAGTAGGTTCCAACCCATAGCAACCCTGAACAGGGTTTCCGAGGCTGTAAATCTTTACGGGAGCAGAAAGCCTCATCTTTCTCCCGCAGAGTAGCTGGTAGTTTCAAACTGCTTACCTTGAGGTTCGCAACCCGATTCGTAACCACTACGCTACCAGAGCTCCTTGTATATATCCCACCTGAATTTAGAGATCATCTGAAGAACAGATTTCATGCATTAGACATAAAGACCAAAGACGAGAAGAGTTGTGGGATGGTATCAAGAACATCACACAGGAAGAAAACAAAAGATCATTAAGAGGAAAAGAAAGAAGTAAAAGACCAATATGGAAGTCATAAGAGACTGAAATTTTCAGCAGAGAGATGCTAAAGCAAATAGAAGAAATTAGGAGGCAAAAGCACTGAACAGAAAATTTCGAAAGTCAGCTCAAAAAGACACAATCAAATATTTTAACAAAATATGCAAAGACCTGGGATAAGAAAACCAAAAGGGAAGAACATATTCAGCATTTCTCAAGATGATAGAACTGAAGAAAACATTCAAGCCTCGACTTGAAATACTGAAGGATTCTAGGAGTAAGATTCTGAGCATCAAAAGAGTCACTTTACCAAAAGGAAATGGTCAATGTTTAACCATTTCAAGAGGTAGCATGCGACTAAAAGCCAATGATACAGAGGAAGAAAGAAGTCCAAGGTGCATTGAACGCATTCACAAAGAACAAGGCATCAGGAATTGATGGAATACAAATTGCTATCTTTCAACAAACTGCTGTAGCACTGGAGGCACACACTCATCTATGCCAAGATATCTGGAAGACAATTACCTGGCCAACTGAGTGGAAGAGATCCATATTTGTGCCCATTCCAAAAAGAGGTGACCCAACAGAATGGTGAAACCATCAGACAATATCATTTGTATTCCATGCAAGTAAAGTTTTACTCAAGGCAATCCAGAAACTACTGAAACCATATACTGACAGAGAACTTTCAGAGGTTCAAGCCAGATTCAGAAGAGGAAGTGGAATGAGGGATATCACTGCTGACGTCAGATGGATCTTGGTTGAAAGCAGAGAATACCAGAAAGATGTTTACCTGTGCTTTATTGACAATGCAAAGACTTTCAATTATGTGGATCATGTCAAGCTATGGACATTACAGAGAATGAGTATTCCTGAATACTTAATTGTTGTCATGAGGAACCTGTACATAGACTAAGAGTCAGCTGTTAACACACGACAAGGAGTTCCTTCAGGACAAACTCCCCTCTGAGACTGAAACTCAAAAGGAACACATGAACAGGCATGTAAGCTTGCTGGAGAGCACACTGGTCAATTGGTGAGTGGAAGAAGAGGAAAGGCAGCAATGAAGAAATGGGCTGAGTTAGACCACAGTCAATTGACTCCAGCTGACCTGGAGATGAGAGAAAGAACAGGAAGGGCTGGTTGGTCCAAAGTGTAGTGAGACCTGGGGATACTTGAGACCATGGACAAGGACATAGCCACAGAGGGATAGAGCTGAGAGTGAAGCATCCAGCTGATATGAAGTGAGGGGAGATGCACAAGAACACCCAAACTT